TTTGACAAGTCCAACGCTACTAGAATCGTTCTCTCACAGGGACGGTTTCGGTTAAGGCCACGAGTTATCTGAGTGTTTATGGCGTTAAGTGCTGTTGTTGTACTGTGCACTTTACGGAAACCATGCTGATGCTTCCCTGGGGTCAAGTGGTTTGTGAAGTACGGGAGTAACAAGGCCTCAAGTGTATTCGCTACCGGGGAAAGGAGTGTTATCGGACGATAAGAATCTCCTTTGTTGGCAGGTTTCCCCGGTTTGAGCAGTGGGACCACTCTCCCCACCTTCCAGATATCTGGTATGATGAGAGTGGCCATAGACAAGTTGAGGACCTCCGTTAGGTGCGCTACCCCCGCAGGACCCAAATTTTTTAGCATCAGCATGCATATTCCGTCGGGACCCATAGCTTTGGAGGCTTTCGCCTTCCCGATGGCCACCTGAACTTCACCGCAAGTGAAAGCAAGGGGGGCACAAGTTGTTGGCAGTTTGTGCAGCCTTCTGGTCACTCGACGCTTGGCTTTGTCCACCGGAGGATGCAGTATGAACTGCCGGCTAAAATAGCTCGCGCATCGCTCCGGGTCCGACGAAGCATGGTCGCCGAAGGAAATTTCGACTCTGTCGTCGTGCTTCGTCGGATTGGACAGCGACCTCACGGTTGACCAAAGCTTGCTCACACCAGAGGTGAAGTTACAGGTCTTCAGATGCTCCTCCCACTTCTTCCGCTTATGTACGTTTACTAGTTGCAGAATCTCCGCGTTGAGATCCCTGATACGGGGATCTCCGGGATCGGCCTGACGAAGGCTATCACGCTCATCGGCTAGAACAGCCGCTTCGGCAGGGAAGTTTGGACGTGGGTCCGTTATACATACTGCCGGTATGAAGCGAGCTGCAGCAGCAGTGACAGCCCTGCGGAACTTAAGTTCACCGAGATGGACGTCGGTTGGTGTGGGGAGCGCTGTGAAGGTGTTTTCGGTAAACTCCGCGAAACCTTTCCAATCAGCTTTAGAAAAGTTGATATAGGTCCGGTGTTTGGCGGAGGCAAAGTCGGTTGGTTTATCTATCGAGATGACTATGGGTAGGTGGTCTAATGCTAAAGTCAGCATAGGTCGCCATGTTATGCTGTTTATCAGACCAGCGCTGACTATGGTGATGTCTGGCGAGCTACTGCAGTTACCCATAATCCTGGTGGGTGCGTCGTCGTTCATTGTGCAGAATGTCGAATCGTCTATCTGCTCAGCCAAGTCTGTTCCCCTACGATCGTTTGACAGGCTTGAGTGCCAAAGATCGTGGTGCTCATTAAACTCACCTACTACCATACGGCTTTCACCTCTGAGGAGCGCACCTATATCAGGGTGATATCCTGCCGGGCAGCAGGTGACAGGGGGTATGTATATGTTAAATATTTCGAGCTCAACATCGCCTGACCGGATAGCGATGCCCTGACATTCTAGGGTGGTATCCCTGCGGTCGATGTCTGCTTCGATTAGACGATACTGCACGGTGTGGTGCGTGATGAACGCTAAGCCACCACCATTATCTCGCTCGCGATCTCGACGGTGCACGTTGTAGCCGGCGCAATTCAACAAAGTTGAATTGCTGTGCGACTTCGTCTCTTGGGCCGCAGCTATCAATATACCATGCCGACACATGAAGACGGTTATCTCCTCAATCTTGCTCTGTAGCCCGTTGCAGTTAAATTGAGGGAGCTTCATGTGGTTCGGGAGACGTGTCGTGATGTGGGGTGTAAGTGATGTGTGTGTTCTGTTGTTGTTGTTGTAGCAGCATACAAATTCCCCAAAGACTTTTTGGGGAGTGTTGCTGGAGTGACAGTCCTTGGCCAGATATAAATCTGGGTCGTTCCGGTTACGTAGACCCGACTGTCGTGGGAACGGGTCGTTCCGGTTACGTAGACCCGACTGTCGTGGGAACGACAGTGTGTGTGTGTTCTTACCGCCGTTGGCTGTGTGCGTTGCTGTGATGGTTGCCGCCCTGTGGTGGTGGCGGTAGGCGTCGCAATTGAGGTCTGCGACCGAGCAGCGCAACACGGGCCCTCGAAGTTCCCAGTCCAATCTCGCGTGGTACGCAGACCTGAGCATGCCCTAAAGTGGCACCAGCCAAGGCAGGTGTTGCACTTGACTGATGTCACATTACGGAATATCCTGGTCTGACATACCGTGCAGATTGTAGGGGGAACAAAGAGTTGTTGGCGGCGGCGTGGGCCACCCACGCCACTTGCCTTGGCTGGTGCCCGGGTGGACTGAGGTTAGCCGTGGAGGTGCTCTGTTTGAGCAACAGGGGGCCACGTACGACGTGGTCCACTGTCGATGTGTCCGTAGTCCCGAGCAGACTCTGAGGTGACTCCACCCCTCGCAGGCAATACACTTGACTGAGGTGGAGTTGTGGTGTAGTCGTCTCCGGCATACACAGCAGGTGTAGGTTTCTGGCCCTGGGTTTGACTCGATGCCAGCCCTCAGTAGAAGAATATGTAGTGAATGTAGCCCTATGGACGAACAACTTCAGAGATACTTCGCCGACCTAAACGGGGTTAGATCGCCGAAACAACAGCCCTTGGTCGGGTAAAGCCCGAGTCATTCCGGTACGTAGAACCGGCTGTCGTGGGAATGGTCGGATTCATCGTGAATTTGGCTGAAATTCACTGGGCAGTGCAGACCCTCCCTGATTAAATCCATTGGAGCTATTACAAATTCACGTTGTTCCCAGGATAAAACTACACATTTTAAATTGCCCTTCCAAAACATATAAACGTACACAATTCCAAAACGATTTTCGCTGGAAATAAAAAAAACGAATACAAGACGGATTCAAAACATCTTTCGGACTGATTGTTGATGTACATTAGCTAGGATCCGGAAATTCGAATAACGGAAATACTGCGAGATGATTTTTAGCGAGTTCGAAGTTTCAGCAGAAATCACCTAGTTGGACGTAAATTTAATTAAAAGATGCATAATATATTGATTACTGTGACTAGTGGGCACGAAATTAATGTCGAGAAATTTAGAGTATTCGCATAGTGCTGCATAAATATTTTATTCATGGAGTGAAATGATTTCGAGTGCTTTGCTACCAAGTGGGCAGCGTTCAGAAGAAGCGCAGGAAGCTAGCCACAGAGAATATAAAAGGTATTTAATTAATTTATGCTAAGATCCGAACCCTTAATCGGTTCAAAGAGTAAGATTAAAAAAAAAAATCATAAAGTCACCAACAGAAGCTCTAGTAGCAAGATGCTCTGTTTTTTACTTTGTTTGGGTGACCGGTAACTATAATAACTATAACTTCGGTTATATGCATGATACTTTTATGAAATTTGCTACAAATATCTCTTTTTACTACAGAAATCAGTGCGCCAAAATTTAGACACTAGCTTAAGTCGTTTAATTGGTGTCAACTTTCATTACTTTATGTCCCACTGTGTCGTGGGGGTGATATCATAGTAACTTTGCGCAGATCTTCTTTCTTCGTAGGTGACCTTCGATTTTTCAACGTTTTTATTTCGACTTATTTTGAAGAGGCTCCCCCGAGGATACCTGTAGTCGGAGCAAGATAATCATATCATTGACTACCTTGGTCGTTGCCCATTTTTTGTACCAACCTCGAACTAATAGATACTTCTTGAAACCCAACCAAATCCGAGTGTATTAGAAGCCGAGGGGGAGATGAGCCTTTGAAGCTTAATCTTGGTCCTTAGGCAAATGGATCGCCCATTAATTTACTCCCATCATCCTCAAAATTGTTAACATTTTCCAATCTGAGAGCTTTATTTTTCAGTGGAGGGATCGTCACTGCCTTTCCTGATAAATTTCTAAACCACACCCGATCAATCTACTATGATTACCCCCGTAATGTGTGGAGTGCCTTATGCGCCATACCTTTAAGAAATTATTCACATAACTTTCGAAAATGTTATTTAACTTCCTCCAATTCTATACGTCTTCTCTGTTTTTACCTCTTCGGCTATTCGTAAAATTTTCTCAGCCCTTGCAATGATCAACAACAGACACACTGGGGGTCAGACGGGTAAACTCTTTTTGTTTTCTTCTATTGTATTGCTTAATTTTTAATATACTCCGTGTATTTTCACTTTTCATTTTTTACCACCTAGGTGAACGGTTTGGGTTGTCAAATATAATATTTCACCCATGACCAACAAAGATGGGCTTTCATCACCTCAAGACAACGTTATATTTATATACATACTACCAGAAAACCACTTCATCAGCTTTCATTTGGTTTCCTATATGTTTTAAATTCGGTTTTTGCTGTGTTGTCCATCCACGTTTGCTCGATCACGCCGTGTAAAAATAAAACAAAAACCAATCTAATGACTTCCTAGTATGTTACCTTATTTTGCTTACCTATTTTTGGAGAATATAAGTTGAGAAACTGAATAATTTTCTTCCAATATTTCACAAAGTATTAAATTGCTCAAGCTACAACGTACTATCAACCAGTCGTCACTTCACAAA